CTCTGCATGTGCTTGAAGATGGCACAGAAGCCATCGGGAAGTAGTACCGTTCTAGGAAACCCTTTAACTTCAAGAATTGGGCCCCAGGGGTTGTTTGGTTCCACGTCAACCTGCACTGGCTTTGTCATTTTCAAACCATAACGGGGTGTGTGTTTTTAAGTTGCTTTAAAATGTGGATTTAAAAAACTCTTGCTAGAAGTAAATTGCAGTTTAGAGAGATGCATTAGTATTTAAAAGATTCCTGAAATCCAGTAGATTTGAAGACTTATTAATCAACTCCTCTAATGTAGAAATGTGCAGATTCATTTTGGCATTTCTGAGTTCTGCTGAGAAGGCATTAACTTACATGTATCTAGAAATTTAATTTACCAGTGCCTGGCCATTGGATGCAGCAGTAATAATTTCTGTTTTCAACTATGGTCCTCAATGAGTACAAATCAGGCTCTTTCCCATTTCAGTTATGTTTCTGTACAGCTCACTAGGCGTTTAGAAGGGAAAACCGGGGTATGCTTCTCACTGGCTAAGCAGATTTCTCTTTGCAAGAGGATATTTTTGGATTCACTCATGAGCTATGCTGTTTTCCAATTTTATCGTCAGAACATAAGGGCTTAGGAAGCATAAATGTGAGCAGAGCCTGAAGGTATGTGTGTGCACGCATGCATGTGCCTACATGCATTTAGTCATTTATATAACATTGTGACAGCCAGACCCCAGTCATGAGCTGATGTCCCCTGCACATCAGCAAGTTTGACTCTGCTCCATATTCACCCACCTCAGGGGTTGGAACTAGGCCAGAGGTATCAGGTAGCCAGGGTGGATGGACAGACACAAATCATTGTGTACAAGGGAGTGGGGCTAGGGCTGGGGCTGAGGGTGGGGTGGGCTGAGGTGGGAACAGCAGTTGTTCAAGGCCTGCTGGCCTGTCTCATTCACAGTGGTGAAAAGTAGTACCATTTCACCCGTAATTGTGAGTACATTTCATGATGATACGGCAAACATTTTTTTCCCAGTATGAAGCCAATCTAGTTGTAAAATCTACCCTTCTGCACTAAGCAGTGTCTCGTTTTGCTCAAGTTTGTACAAAGTCTTCATTAATACATCATTTCTTATTTTAACAATGTAAACAAAACAATTGCAAAACCCAGCTGACTCTTGGGAGTCTGCAGACACCAGTTCCTACGGGAACTGAATTAAGGTTCTGATTCTGCAGGTGACACGCAAGGCCGGTTGTACCACATCAAACTGAAAATGCTTATTAGTGTTGGGAA